TCGCGCCCCGCGTGCACCCCCAGCCCCCGCCGCCCCCACAGTCAATAACGCCACCGCGTTAATCGAAAATGGCGTGAACCTCTGCCGAACAATAAAGAACGCGAACACCGCGGTGAAAGCCAGCTGCGTGGCGATGAGAACAGATGACGTCGATACGGGGAGGAAATCCAGGCCGTAGGCGTAGAGGTAATCGTCGGCGCCCGTGAGGAGGCCGATGAAGGCAGAAGCGATGATGAGGCGAGGGGTGATGAGAACGGTTCGAGCGGAGGGGTCGCAGCGACGCCTGTAGAAGAAGGAGAGGGAGAGGGGGAGGAGAAGAAGGGGCCAGCCGGCTGTTTCTAGCCAAGCGGAAAGCCACTGACGTTTGCCGCCATGGAGGAAATAGATGCGCAGGAGTAAGGGCCCGCTGGCGTTTCCGAGGCAGAGGAGGAGACAGTTGGTGATGGTCAGGAGGCGTTTCAGGGAGCGATTTAGCTGTGGTGGTGGTGGTGGAGGAAACATGGACTGTTGTCTGTCTGTTTTGTCAGGCTGATGCTGCTGATCGATTTCCATTGCAACGGAAGTCTCCTTTGATCTCAGCTGGCCGGCTTTATGCTGCTTCTTGTGAGAGTTGCTCGCCTTGTAGTGTATGTTATATGGAAGAAAACTGTATAAGACACTTCACTCTTCTCTGTTTTAGATGGAGAGACATTTAGCCAGCAAATTTATTTATTTTTTAATCTATAGGTATAATTTTCTTTTTATTTTCTTAATTTTAGAAAAATAAATTGGTTAGGAAAGAAAAATATATGCATATCCCATTAAAAATGTAGAAAATTAGACTATCAAATTTAACACACGTTCTTAATAAAGGTAAGAAGTCTTCTGGACATCGAAATGAGGATCTACTGGACATCAAAATGAGGATTGGAGAATAGGCGAGAGGTCTTGTGAGCACCAAAAATAGCAAACATGCAAATTAAACAGAACATATGATGAGTCGTAGAAGGAAGATTTATAATTTCTTTTACAAATTTCTACAGGAAAGGACCAGAAAATTATCATGGAACAGATAAGAATTAGAATATGGCTATTAGAGAAAAAGTAAGTTGCAATGGAAAGAAATGTATCTTAAATGTTAAAAAAGTTGAACTTTTAAGAAAATAGTTCAATTTCAGATGAAAAAAGATTGCTCGAATCATGTACTTGAAAATTCATTTAAAAAACCTCTAGTAGTAGTTCCTGGTTGGCTGATAAAATTACCTCTCAAGGATTTTGATAGTAAGTTTACTTTGTCCGTTAAACTTCCTTGAATTCCTGCAACAAAACAACCAATTCCAAAAGATAAGCGAGATTAGCTTACACATCCACACACACGCAGAGAGAGAGAAAGAGAGAGAGCATCTTTGTTACCTTGCTCTTGCGGTGCATGCCCAGCATAAAGGAACGAGTGAAGGAGCAAGGCCTTCGTATTATACACTTTATTAATAGGACCTAGTTTGGCTTCTCTGATCTCGCTCCGCATTTATTGATGCTAGCAAACAATGTACAGTTCATAATACAGCAACTACATATAATTAGTTGGCGAGAAAGGGGAAAGAAAAGCCGACTGATTGCGTGGAGATTTTTTTTGCCTTTAGGGCGCACATGATTGAAATTATGTGCTAAGTTTTCATTTAATATTCCATGGAAAAGAAGACAAAAAAAAAACTGAGTGGAAAATACAGTAAAATGTCTTCTGAAGTTTGCCCTCTCACATGAAAGCTTGGGTCAGTTTTGTGACGATGACGAAATACCTTGTAGCTGGGAAGAGTTCTCTGTTTATGGATATGTTCCATCACTCTTGTCTTCTTTGCTGTGTTAAGCCTTTTCTTCTGTTCTATAGCAAGTTGAACAGCTTGTTCATTTGAGTTTGAATGTAATTTCTCTGCAATATAAATATGGTAAAAGTGTTTATTTAATTTATTAAAAGTGCCATCTTTAAAATTTTGTCTTTTTATTGAACCCATAATTTAGAACAGTCTTCATAAAATTCTAAAGTCACATTTTATGAAGAATATTTTGGAGGATTTTAGAGATACATTTTAAATGAGTGATTTAAAGATTTCTAGAATATATAATTAATTACTTTTGTGATGGAAAAAAATGAGAATACTCTAAAGAGTAAATAGTAGTCATTGAATTGAAATGTGTTGGCACAATCCTAGTACAATCAAGAAGTATAAGAGTGAAATAAAAGTGAGTTATTCAATATTTATTCTTGTCTTTTTAGCATTCATCTTATAACAATAGCCTCTTATCTTCCAACATTAGACCTCTGACAACAGTCTCTCACAATAGTTCATTGTAGCCACTGCCCAATATGCTTTGAAATCGATTTGTAACCACTACAGTAATTAGCTAATTAGGAAGGTCAAATGTTGTCGTTAATAATGGATAAACCGTAGGTAATATATTCACCGAGGATTTAGTGGGACAAAGTCGGGGTAGCAAAAATGTTTCTTGATAATTGGATTACCGACGGATATCCGACATGTCATAACCATCATAATACATCCAAAAACATGTCATGTTTGATCTTAGCATGACAGTCAATTACATAACTAACACATGTTTGTAGGAATATTGTTGAACTTCAGTCAAAAAAGTGTCATGATTCCATTTGTAAAATGCGGCGCAACAGTGAGTTAGCTGTAGGAATTTACCGATAATTTTTATTGTAGCAAAATTGTAGCACTTTGTACTGACCTCACTTCTTCGACAAATTGTCGGAAAACCGTTGGTGTATAATCAAGAGTCATAAAACCGTCAAAAAAAAGGTTGAAAATCTTTACAATCAAGAAAAAAAATTCAAAACTCACTTTCAACGTTACAATCTACACATCTGCAATTGTGACAGTGCAATTAAAACATAGCACAATGCAGTAAAAAACTTAGATATAAATCATATAAGAAAAAGAAAAATAATTGAATTAAATCAAACGAAATGTACAACTGCACAATAAAAATAATGTTCGCTAATAAAAATTATGTTCGCCTATAATAAATTGTTTATTTTACAAACAAATAAAAAAATAACCCCGACTTATCATCCTCATCCTCGTGTGTTCTCTCCTCATCATCATCATCCCCATTCTCATCCTGCATTGGCTCCTTCCCTTTTTGCAGTTCAGAACGCAACATCGCTTCGATCTCTGCCCTCATCTCCGATCTCAGGGTGGCTACCTTGACAACAACCTCATGACGCAGCTCCTTCTCTTGTGAAGTGGAAGCGGAAGCACCATATGTGCTAGTGGTTGGGCAGGAATCATACCACCGACAAACTCCCTTTAGAGGTCGTACTCAGAAGGATCGTGTATGTGCCCGAACCACAACCCGACTGTTGAGATCGGCTCTCCTTGAGCCTCTAGAAGGTCTCCTACAAAACATATGATTAATGAAAGTGAGAGACTAAAAAAATTTTAATAGTTATTTGAATTTTATACTCATTAATCTTGTGAATTACTTTGGTTGCATACGATCTGCTTGCCACCTAGGACTGATCCGGCTGCGCCTATGGGTGCGCTTGTGTAACTCTACAACACTCGGCTCTCATACTTTCTCTAGTTTATGTCAGTATAATGGAATAGTTAGCATACATCTAATGCAAACTAAGTAAGTCTTACTAGCCTCCTCTTGTACTCTGTATGCGGGAGCGCTCCACCAGTGTGTTTCTAGGCCTCCATACCCCCGCAGTCAGAGTAGTTATGAAACAAATATTTCTATGAGATGGTTGGGGTAGCTATAGTGGCATACATTTTTAGAGGGAGATGTTTCAATGGATTGAGAGTCAATGTTTGACTAATTAATGTTCTTAGACAAAACTAATATTACTAAGATGTTAAATGATTTGAATTCGAGCCGAGTTGGCGTAGGCTCCAAATAAGTTTAATAAAAAAATTTTGGCTCGTAGCTCAGTATGCTTATTTCAATCCGAATTTTATATACGAGTCAAACTTAGAATCAATTTCTGAGCAATTATCATTTTTTGAGCTAATTTCACAGCCCTACACTATGTACCACAAAAAAATATCAACCTACATACAAAATACTTCTCACGATTTAACCATCTAAGGATTTGATGATTCTGGATTTGTAGGATTTACTATTCAAACTAAATCTTGCTTGCAACCAAACAATCCATTAATCTAAAGGCCAACATTTTGTGTCATAAAACATTACAAATCTCACCACCATCTTAGAAAATTTTACTATAAGTTTAAGAGGTATTTTCTATCACATAATAAGTCCAGATATATTCCTCAGCCTCGACCAGCTAATTTGAATTCTACTAATAACATCCCCATTTATATCACCATCACTTTGAATAAGAGACCTGAGATATCTAAAATGTTCACACCTTTTAATGATTTGATCACCCATAGGTACAACCCTACCACTAGAGTTAGTACTACTAAAAGTAAATTTCATGTATTCTTCCATAGGAATTTAGTGTTATGTATGTAAATATTTTTTAAGCAAATATTTTGGGATTCTACATTTAAGCATTCACAACAGCCACAACAGTTCAACAATTGGGTTAGGGTACATCTTTAAAAGAAAAGAAAATCAAAAACTTTAAAAGCTTCAAAGAGGAAGAAAGGAATAAAGGACTCTTAAAAGATCTACAACAACAATGTAAATCAAACAAGACTAACACAAGAAACAGAGAGACAAACCATAGCAACGAAAACCACAAAAAGAAAAGAAACAAACCACCAAAACAAAGGGAAGATGGATAATCAACTGAACTCATAACTTAGCTGCAGAAAACATTAAAATTTTGTCCTAGATTTTGAGCATATAAAAATATATTCAAAACTAGTTGAATTTTAATGATAGTCGAAATTCATCACAGCTACAAAAACCAATCTCAACCACAAGTGAAGATCAAAGAGAAAATATAAGCTTATCAAAGGTAAATGAATCATCATAAACAACATTTAGCTCAAAACCAAATCAGAGCATAAGCAATAATGTTCAATATGAGATATTCAATCCAACACGGTGAAAGTATATTGGCGGCCCGTCAATCCTAAAAATAGAATGCATTAGCCAAAATTTCCACATAATACACATTATCGAAAGAAAATAACATCAACTCAACTCAGTATAAGAACAATATGGTAAAACAATTCAACTCCAAACCACATTACTCCTTCAGTTTGTTCTGCACTATAAGGAGTATCCTAACAATAGAAAAATAAAAACAATAACCAAAATGACTATTTTAGTTCCATTTTATTTTCATGATCATAATGAATCAAGCATCAAACTATTCAAGCTTATGGAGATGTCTTAGAATTTATTTACAAAATTCTTCTTGAGGTAACAACAATGATGTCTACGTGCTAATTACGGTCACTAAAACTTAGCATCAAACTATTCAAGCTTATGGAGATATCTTAGAATTTATTTACAAAATTCTTCCTGAGGTAACAACAATGATGTTTGCGTGCTAATTATGGTCACTAAAACTTGCTATTTGAGGCTTTCCATAAATAATTTTTCAAAGCAAAGTTAAGGGCTATCAACGTACAAATGATTTCATAGGAATTTTGAGGTTGTTTGGTAGCTGGTTTTAAGTAGGATTAATGCAGGATTTAATCTAAATCATGTCAAACGACAAAAAATGCTTTTGTAAATCCTGCTAGTTCTTAAATTTCGTTCTTCCTCCATTTTGCCTTAAATCCAAGATTTATCAAATTTTGTAGGAAGTAGGATTTACAGGATTTAGAGAAGTTGAACCTTGTGGGATTTAATAAATCCTATTAAAGTCATTAATTTGTTTCTCGAGATTTTTCAAGATTTAATCACACCAGGATTTGATAAATTCAAATTTACTAAATCCTACTTGCAACCAAATAATTCTTAGTAAATCATATTTAACTTAAATCCTACTTCCAGCCAAACACTCCTTTAGTGTAAATCCAAAGTGTAGCCAAACTGCCCCTTAGACATGAAATCGTTTGAAAAAGAAGAAAAGAAGCTACCTTAGTGAATGGTTTTGTGTAGGAGTTGCGTGGAAAGAGAAAAATGGGAGTATCGGTTCTTTGTAGGCCGCGGTCCCGTCGTAGTCGATCCCAACTAGCTAAGGTTCGGGAGCAAAGGTAAAGGTTTTAGATGAAAACGAGGAGGGCTAGGGCAAGGGTGAGGCCGAGGCTTTCGGTAATGGAGGGAAGCAGCTAGGGCGAGCGCGAGCGGGACTGGAGGACAAAAGAAATGGAAATGAGGGATTCAGATGGGGTGGGCTAAATTAGGGGATTTACTTAGGACTTACAGGCAGTCTAAAATCTGTCGGTCTGTAACATAATTGCCGACGATCATTACTGTCACTTTTTAAAATACCTTGTTGGTAAATACCCTATCAAATAGTGTGTTGTTAAATAA